GGGGGGGGGGAGTGAGATATAAAGACAGAAACAAAAGAGAGATAGAGGAGAAGTAGGACCTATATGTGGTACCCTTCAGCCATCTGCCAGCTTTCAATTTCAAGAGCCATTATTATGGACTGTTACCATCGACGAGTAGTTCAAGACGTGTCGATATTTTCAAGGTCGTGATGAATGTCCATTTCCCCTTGCTTCCTTGTATGTCCGCAATGTTAGTGCCTATAGTAAGAGAGTTGACCCCACAAACAGTTGTCTTTTTGATGTTCTTGAGATGCCAATTTCTTGTTTTGTAGTTATTGCAATGTTCTTTAAGCAAGGTAGCAAAGGAAAAAACAGAAAATAGATAATTTCTCATTTTGTTTTTCTGCCATTTAAATGATTTGTGATTTTGTTGAAAAAAAATTATTTATGTTTTTTTCCCCAGCATGAGCGTGCTAGAGTGGTGTACAAATATGCTCTGGATCACTTGCCCAAGGAGCAATGTGAAGAGGTCTACAAACACTACACTGTGCATGAGAAAAAATTTGGCAGCAGAGCAGCCATTGAAGATGTCATTGTGAATAAAAGAAGGTTCAAATATGAAGAGGTGAGCAAAGGTCGATAGAGGTTATTGTATTGGCAATAATTCCTTTTTACATTTTATATAATGGCTTTTATTCCTGGCTGTTATTTGAGTCGCTTATAGGGAACAAAGAGGTTAGGAACTATCTAATTTAATGAATGAGACAACCGATGGAAGGAGAAAATGAGTCGCTGAAATATTATCTTTGGTTTTGCAGTATCTGACAAGGTTGTTCAGCATTCATTTGCAAAACTGATCTTTTATTTCAATGTATTCCACAATGTTTTGTTTATTGGATTGTGTGGGTAATCTAGGTTTCTGTTCACAGAATTTTAACTTGTGAAATTGTTAGAATAGTTTTTTCCGGTTGCTGATACTGGGCAGTTTCCTCTTCAGAATATATTTATATGACAGTATCCAGTGCATATTTTGTTCTATTTATCAGCTTTTGTTGCCTTCCAGGAAGTGAAAGCCAACCCCATGAACTATGACGCTTGGTTTGATTTACTGCGTTTGTTGGAGTCTGATGGGGAGTTAGAACAAGTCCGAGACACGTATGAGAGAGCCATAGCCAACATTCCTCCCTCCCAGGTCTGTAATATGTAATTGTAGATGTTTTAGGCACTCATTGACATTGTTTAGATCATTTAAGAGGTGCGCTGCTAGACTCTGCCTGTCAGGGCCAGCTCAAGATTAGAGTGAACACAACATCCCAGCAGAGAGATGGAGATGTTTGATAAATAAAACCTCCCCACACAAGAATCAAACTCGAGGTCTTCTGTGTTCTGCGATGAATCACCCAACGGCTACAACACCGATACCTCCCAGGTGGAGGAGATCTGTGTGTTTTTTAATGTAGAAAAAAGTTTGGAGACTGCGTTTTATTTTGACGTTTGTCATGCTGTAGGTCAGAAGCCATTATAAGTGCATTATAGTCTGCTTTCCTCCGTTTTTTCTTTGCCATTATTGCAGCAGTGTAATTTATTTTATGTGCTTAGGTGAAGCGGCACTGGCGACGTTACATCTACCTGTGGATCAATTACGCCTTGTACGAGGAGCTGGAGGCGGAAGACATGGAGCGCACACGAGAAGTTTACAAAGCCTGCCTGGACGTCATACCACACAAGAAGTTCACCTTTGCCAAGATCTGGCTTATGCTTGCCCAGTTTGAGATCCGACAGAAAGATTTGAATGGAGCTCGGAGAGTTTTGGTATGTATTGTCATGGCTTCTTTTCAGATTGTGTAGTAGGAAAATAATTTTTTTTTGACGCCTCAGTCATTTTGTCCAACCATTGAATGTTGCAAAGCCTAATTTTTTCTAGCACAAATTATTATTAAGTTCTTTGACTGTTAATTTTTACAATAATGTGTTTGTAATTTGTCTGTTTATTTCTTTTGTCTAATTGCTGAACATATTTATTCTTCGTTGTTTCTGACATCACCACCAAGTTGATGGTCCTTTCTTGTATTGACCATTTCTAAAGACATGATCACTTCTGTATGGTTTTTCTTTGCAGTGTAGCATCTTTTGAACCATCAGTATTTATAATAATTTAATGTTTTTATATTTTGTCTCCATATGACTGTTGCAGCTGCTAGTGGGACTTCTTCTAATTTTTGTTGGGAATACAGAATGATGTAAAGGCAGTCCAGGAAAATATTCAGGGGTGGGGGGTGGGGGTGGGGGTGGTGTCACATAAGGTATTCCATTCCTGAAGTTTCTCTACATTAAATAAATCACTGACATTTACTGTTCAAAATTTTAATCCATGCTTCTTTCCAGCCTTGTCAGATTTCTCTGAAATTTTGTATTCTTAATTCTGTTTGTCCATCAGGGAACAGCTATAGGCAAATGTCCAAAGAACAAAGTGTTCAGAGGCTACATAGATCTGGAGTTACAGCTGAGAGAGTTTGATCGCTGTCGTATGCTCTACCAGAAGTTCCTTGAGTTTAGTCCCGAAAATTGCACCACATGGATGAAGGTATGTCGGTATGATCAATTTAAAGGTTTTGTTTTCGTTAAAATTTGGTGACCTCTGATCTACACCAAATGCCTATTGGGCAAAAGTTAATTATAATATCTACTCCTCCCCCCCCCCCATTAAATTTTTAAAAATTAAAAGCATCGTTTACACTTCATATCTTTCAAATTAAAACAAAAAAAATATGGCCCTGTAGGGAGTGGACTCTGGATAAGGGCTAAAGTTTTTCTTTCCCCCCCCTGCTTTATTGTTATTTTTTAGGTTTTTTTTTACCATGCCATAATTATTGCTGTATGCATATTGCTGCTTTTTAAACTCTTTATTTTCCATGTTTTGACGGAATTTTTTCCAGATCTTGTGAAACAAGTAACGGGGGATACACGCAAAATATTCATTTAGCTATTAAATGGCTAAAACTGTTTCAAAGTGAAAGTGGATGTAGTTCATACATTTATCTAACAATTCCGAGTCAAAATAAATCTATTTAGATTAGGAAGAGATTGCATTACCAGTAATGCTTCATGCACCCAGCCATCTTACTGGACGCTGAGACTGTCCACTAGGGGACCTTGTGAGTTTCACTGGATGCTCCCATCATCCATGCTCAGACCTGACAACCTCACTCGAAAATTACATATTCTTACGTTTTTTTATTTTTGTGCGCGTACAAGACTTTTTCGTATATTGTATGTCTTTTTTAAGTCAGCCGGGTAATCATCAAAACATATTAGCATCAGTACGTTTCCCTTGTTCATCCAATGAAATTGCAGCAGATATTACTACTTGTGACCCATTTAAACATTCAAAACTCGAAAAAATTCAGGAAACTGTACGCCCATCTAAATCTAACAACCCAAACATTACTTTCACATGTTTTCAGTGAGCTTGTTTCTACACAGTATCGTAAAATTTATTGATTTAAATTTTATCAAAACCATTTTAGGGATTAGAAAACTTACTCTTTAAGATCTCATTCTTTTTTACCTAATCGTACTCTTTTTCACCTTCAATTGTACTCTTTTTACCTAATGTGGGTTGGCAGCTCTGCATGCTTGGGATTATAGAGTTAACTGTATTTTGTGGTGTGATTGTTGGCTTTATTAACCATGCTTTAATTATTGCAGTATGCAGAGCTGGAAACTATCCTCGGAGACATTGACCGAGCTCGGGCTGTCCTTGAACTGGCCATTGACCAACCGCGACTCGACATGCCTGAGGTCTTGTGGAAGGCGTACATTGACTTCGAGGTTGAGCAGGAGGAGTTTGACAATGCCCGGAGACTCTACAGGCGCTTATTGCAGAGAACTCAACATGTGAAGGTAGGTTGTGGTTTTCTTTTTGTTGACCTAGTGTTCAAGTGTTACGTATGAATTAACACTTTGCCACCACAGGGCTCATATAGTAAAGACTCTTTTGCAATCAAAGGCAAAGGCATTTTGAGGAAAATCCAAAGAAACTGGGTGGTAACCATTGCCGATTGGCGAGATGTGACGGCAAAGTGTTAAAAGTGATAAACTATGGATTTTTCTCCCTCATATTTCGAACGTCTGACTACAACATAATGAAATGACAAGTTTCCATCACCTCCAGAGAAAGGAAGAGTCCATGATTTTCGGTTTGCAAACAGATATACAGCTCAACTTTCACTTACACAAAATAAAACATCTCTCTCTTTCCCTTTTAACTGCCAGTGGAGCATAGGCCATCAACAACATTTCTCCAGCGAAGCCTGTCCTGTGCATCCTTTTCTAGCTGTTTCCATTATGTCCCCGCCGTTTCCATTTCCGCTTGTACCGCTCGCCTCCATGTCACCTTTGGTCTTCCTTTCTTACATTTAGAATAAAAATAGTGTGATGGTATTTTAGGGGATTATTCTCTTGCTCTAAGAGTTCAGAGCAGATATCTGGACAGCCAGCAAAGGTAAAAAGGGTTAAGTTAATGCAGGATTGATGTAATGCCACACAGCAGCTTTTTATGCATACTGACTGAAATCTAAGAAATAAGTACCTCCTGAAAGTCTTAGGAGGAAAATGCTTTTGATGAGGAGAAGCATGCTTTGTTTTCAGCAGGTGGTTGGTGGGTGTTCTTGTTTTGCTTTTTAGACTTTTTTTGGTGTTGCTATTGGCCTAACAAGTTCTTATGACAAGTTTTGCGGACTTTCTATGAATGACAGGTTAACATTTTTGTTTCGTACTTTTTTCCATGGCACAGTTAATGGATGATGGTTTGCTATTACCAAACAACTTGTAAAATTCAAGTGGGAAAAAAACAACAAACATTCACTGTTCAAAATTTATTTCAAAGATTTTTAGATCATATCTCATTAGGTTATACTGGATACTTATTTTTGTCCTTAAAAGAAAAGATTTAATGATCCACAGAATGACATCAGAATGGTATTGGAAAAAAGAATGGAGTTGACTTATTTCTTCCAGCTGCACAGTAAGAGCATTGTGACACGATTGTGATGTGTGTTTTGCATTATTTCATCAAATACTTTCTCTCCAGGTGTGGACGAGTTTCGCCAGGTTTGAGTTAACGTTGCCGGATGAGAGGGCATTGGAAAAGGCGCGGGCTGTCTTCCGAGAAGCGAATTTGGAGCTGAAGACATCAGACGACAAGGAGGAACGTTTGCTGTTGCTGGAGTCTTGGCAGGCAGTAGAGGTTAGTCTGTCCTTGTTGAGTCGGGCTATCCGTAGGAAAAATATTTCTGTCTTTTTATCTTATAACGTGTCTCGACGTGGTGGAATCAGCACTCGTCAATTTTTTGGCATATGGAGTTATTGGTATCATCTTAAAGCCTGTCAATTTGCCTTGCTTTTGATGAAAAAAAAATCCTTTTATTCTGGATACAAGTCGAGATATTGGCAATTGAAGGATGTGGGGGTTGCCTGGTTTCAGAGGTATATCTTGAGAGTCCATGGAAACTTAAAATTTACATCTTGTATGCCTTCATTCAACGGTTTTCAGTAAAATTAAGTACCACAAGCGAAATTTTTTGGGAACAATATTGATGTCTAAACCTTAGGGGTTCAAATCTACTCAATAAAACAAGAACATTAAAAAAAGAATGATCAAAATCCATCAATAAACAATCGAGATATGGTATTTCAAAATTATTCACCCATGTTTGAGGTGTTCTAAAATACAAAGTGCATGATCAAATCAATGAAAACTTTGTTTGTCCTAGAGATATCAACACAAATATTGATATTTCTAAATCAAAGCATGATAGAATGACTGGTTTCCAAGATATAGGCCTTCAAAAATTGAAAAAAAATGCCAAAATAGGTCATTATGAGCTCAGAACCCTATTTCAACCTCTTCCAAATTAGTCAAAACTGCCTCTCCATTAGTGAAAAGCACACAATCATTACAAATACATGCATAGACTTAGCTGAATTTTTTTCAGACCTCTCTGACCATAAGTAACTTTTCTGGACTCCTCTGAAGTGGGCTTCGGGGCAAAAAAAGCCTCTTGGAAAAAAAATTACTGGAACGCTGGTACATCCTCGGGCAAAAAGTATCACAACAAGTGAACAAATTAAGCTACAGGGCTAAATCATACATCAAATTAAAGCTCAATGCAAGCTCTATGAGGCCAAATGAAAATTGTTTACTAAAACCTCTCACAACACTCAATAACAGGGCCCTAAAGCCCAAAAACCTGCCATTATTGAGTGAAACTTATAACGTCTGCCGACTGGAAAAACATTCATATAAAATCAACAAATTTATCAAATTAAAGCTCTTTTCAGGCTCTGTACAGTGAATTAGGTTTAAAAAAGTAAAACCCTTCCAAACATTTCAGAAATGGACAATAATGTGAAAAAAGTCATCAATATTGGTTGAGAAAATTAAGATTTCTGCTCAGGGGGTTTAAAAATTTGAATTAAATCAACATACTGTTCTACCGTGGTTCATCTTGTATAATATAGATCTAGTTCTAGATTTATTTATCCTTAATTTTGCTGAGAAAGAAACCAGTGGCTGGGGAAATACAATGTATGCGTCCAGTAAGTGGATGGAAGAAAGAGGGGGAGGGGGGGACATTTCACCAATTATCAGGTGATGTCTAAGTCTAACTAAGTCTAAGAAGACATAAAAAAGGCTGGTTAATTCAATAATTGAATATCCACCAATCAAGAACGTAGATTTAGCCTTTTTGTTATCAAATTAAATGCAAAAACAATAGATCTACAAACATTTCCATCGGTAACACTAACACCCAGTAACCCCTTTCCGAGTGTTTAGTTTAGTGTGTTATAAATAGAACTCCCAGTTCAACTATTCACGGCTTTATTCTTTCACTTTGTCGACCAGAGATGCTTAGATTTCGATGCATTTAGAATAAATAAGGTGTTCTTAGTTGAAAAGACTGCAAAAATACCACCATGAAGCGATACATTTGTATAGATCGCAATTAATTCACTATGAGGTGGTGGAAATGTAGGTCGGCGTGATTCCCACCAAACAATAAATATTCAACCACACAGCAAGTGGGGGCCGATTAGTCTTATTTTTCAAAACACGGTATTCATAAATATCCTAAAAGAAAATTATGGTAATACCTACACATAAATTGACGCCATGAACAGATCAATCAAATGTTTCTTTCACTGAACCATCAAATAATCGTCTGCTGGTTGGGTCAAGTCAGAGGGGCTGGCAATGGGCGATGGAACAGCCGCATTGGCAGAATGACGATCTCCCCACTTCAGAAAAAGTAATATTTCTACTTTGTGGAATGTAGTTGGCTTTTCTAAATACACAAACTTGATGGTAGAGATGTCTAGGAATATGATCCTGGCACGGATAGCCCGATTTGTGTCGAATTTCATATTTAAAATGCTTTCTTCGTCTTTACATCGTACCGCTCACGCTTTCCGCTCAGAATAAAAACATAAACACATTCCCCGGAAATTCTCCTGAAATCCCATTTTTTTATGTTTCAAACCGCAAGAAAATTCGATGATTCACGTCTGAGAAATCAAAATTTAAAACAAGTACCCCCCAAATCTAGGCGCGCAAAATTGCGAGACGGTCAAGTTTTCACGTGTTAAACTTTAGTCAATTAAAAACTAAATATGCAATCATAAGTATCAGTTTCTCGTTCACCATTAAGAAGGAAAGACACAGAAAACAGTGGTATCATTTTTATTAGTGATTACAAAAATTAAAACCAGCTAATAGTTGGATGAAGTTGTCCAAATCTGGCTTCAGCCGTGGCTGTCTGCCTTCAAAATCCACCGCACAAATATGTTTTTAAATGGCCATAAAAGGTGTTGAGTGAAAACACAAAACGCACAGAGCTGCAGATCCTTTGTTGCTGCTCTAAATGCCAGATGGCATGACAGGTAGTTAGTAAGTAAGAAAACACAAAAATTGATAAAAATTCCCAAACCTGCTAAAAAAAGCCAGTTTCTTCTCTTTCATTATTTTGAGGAGTGCCTGATTTCACCATGCTGCCTCACATATGTCAGTCTTTGCATAAGTTCATACCAGCATATGTGGGGTAGCAGTTAGGTGCATTACCTTCGTATGCAGAAGACTTGTTATGGCATTGTGGACTGGGGTGTCTGTGGACTGTCTGCCCACCCTGAGAAGAGGCCATTCATGTTGAGGATAGGAGGGTACTAGGAGTTTTTATGAGACTGGAAAGACCTAACTGCCCTGTGACCGTGTAATTCCGGTAGGGTTCACGTTGCCCATTCCCCGCCACCAATGGCTACTGGCTAAGGTTTTCGACTCTTTCATGAGGTATTGGCCAAGTGGAAAAGCCATTGGATCGTCACGTCCTGGGTCGTTGTGCCTTTACTAAGAGGTTTCATGGCCAGAAAGCAAGTCAGGCATTCTGCTCGGTCCATCCCCTGCACCCAGTCACTCTCAAACTGGCTGGTACCTTCTCAGCCACAGAGGGTGTGTTGATGAAAGTAGTAGAGGTGTTAGGCAGAATAGACACCCACTCAAGGGAGAGTAGGGGTGTGTTAGTGAGGAGCATAGCGTCTACCACGCATCGGTGGGTTCTGCCTCCTGCACCTTGTGGGGCTACACCTGCTCCCATGCTGTTGTTTTAACCCCTCTAGGAAACGGGGGGGTTGGTTTGTTGGCGCCAACAACTCGCCATTCGCCAGAACCGTGTCAGTGAGGACAGGGACCACCACGGGCAGGTACAGTTGGCTGGATTGGGAGAAGCTGTTTGAGACGCTTAGGCATTTCTCAATATTTAAATGAGACCCATCACCAGTCCTTGATCCCCATGCAGAAGACTTAAGTTGGAGAATTTTTATAATCCCCCCCTTCTGGTACAATGTTTTGTCCCTTTTAGCCTGGATTGGCTGTGACAGAAAGGATTGAAGCTCGTCTCTTAAGTGATCTAAATTGTGTTATGGGGACGTAAAACTTGTACATTTGAAAAAGGAAAAAGTTCATCATAAGTTTTTTGCAGCCATTTTGATTGGTTTCCTTTAACCTGATATGAATGATATCAGCCATACATGGAAATGATTTTAGTTACTACAGGAAGAACTATTAGAAGTGAAAACAGACCTTATTTCATTTTATTTTGCAGTAGAAAGCAAACATAGTAGTATTGCCTGAAGTATTTTTTGAGATTGTACAACTTAGTCCTCAACTAGGTTTAGGCCTCCAGATTCAAGATTTTGATCTGGCAAGCCCTGTAACTCACCCGTGTGGTTCCCTGGGCCCTGTCCAAGAGACAGGGGTCAAAGAATAGGACCAATGTTTCCGCACTGTGCATGTCGTAGAAGGAGACTAAGGTCGATTGGGCAAAGGGTTAGCAGCCCTTTCCTGTAAAACAAAAAACAGCTACAAAAGCATCAACAGCAAAAACAACACGACTGCCAGTTCTGGAAGATGGAGGACTTTGACCATTGAAGAGGATAGAGAAAAGAGTGTAGAATGACACAGGGTGGTGAAACTGAAAGCCGAAAGGGCTAGAAAAGGATGCACAGGACAGGCTTTGCTGGAGAAATGTTGTTGATGGCCTATGCTCCACTGGGGGTTAAAAAGGGGAAGAGAGACAAGCCCTGTAACTGGGCTTGAACACTTCGGACTTTGCCACATGCCAATTTGAAAAGTGATGTATGAAGAAGTCATACCCTGACTGAGCACTCAAGGGGATTATGATTAAAGCTTCTACGGCCAAATGCATTCCTTATATTTGTAATTTCACTCTGCACTGACTGAGCACTCAAGGGGATTATGATTAAAGCTTCTACAGTCAAATGCATTCTTTGTATTTGTAATTTCACTCTGGTACTCAGTTGAGGTCAACCCAAAATGGGGATATGTCCGTTGATATCTGAACAGCAACATCAGTGATCTGGTGTGAGTTTTCCATCTAACTTTGGAGGTATTACACCACCGCCATCAACACTGTTTAGATCATTGAGGAGGCGGACTGCTTCGAGGCCTGTCTGTCGGGACTAACATAGGCTGAGAGGGATAAAACGTGCCAGCAGAAAGATAGAAATACTTGATAAAAATTTTCTCCAGAGTGGAATCACTCACGTCTTCGGTGTGGGATGACAAAGCACCTAATCTTTACACCACAGACAGACATTGACTTCCACAGTATTTTTTTTTTTAGAACTTGGCAAGTTGGATTGTTTGTTGCGTTTCTGGTTGAGATTCCTCCCTCACTTTTTAATTTGAAATCAAATATTTTTCTGGCCTTTATATTTTTAACTTCTTTTGTGCTAATACTTTGTTAATGTGCTCTCTGTTCCTGCTTAGGAGGAGGCTGGGGATGAGGCATCTAGAGACGAGGTGGAGAAATTAATGCCACAGAAAGTCAAGAAAAGGAGAAAGATCCAGACAGAGGATGGGGTAAGCTCTGTTCAGTTTATTTTGTTGTCTGTTTTTACATCATAAGAAGCTGGGATTAAAATGGCAGGTTCTTGCCTGCCTGTTTTAGGTTGTTAAAGACTCCATAGAAATTAAAAGTTGATATGGAGCCGAATCAGCATCCCCATGTTCTGGTGCTGTGACAGGAAATCAATGTTACATTCTTGCTAATAAACAGGTCACATACAGTCAGACCTGCTCTGTTTTTCCTGTAGTTTATCTTTGATTTTTTTTACCATCTCTCTGTTTTTCCTTTAGTTTGTCGTTTGTTTTATACTGTTCCTCTGTTTTATCCCTAGTTTGTCTTTTATTATTTGCCTGTTACATAGTTGTTTTATCCTCTTAATCTGCTTGTCTTTGACTCAACAAGTATGTGTACAAATTCTTTTTTTTCTTTCAGTCTGATGCTGGATGGGAGGAATACTTTGACTACATCTTCCCTGATGAAGAAGCGGCCAAACCTAACCTTAAACTGCTTGCATTGGCCAAGAAATGGAAAGAGACGAAGGAAAAAGAGCCAGAAACCTCAGAAAACGCAGAAGATTCATGACCTGTTGATGCGTGTTGATTTGACTGAATTTTTTTATGAAAGAGAGCTGGGAGAGTATGGCTGGTGTGATAAAGTGAATGTGGGAGTGTATTGGCTTGTTATTGTTGTTGTATATGGTTGGGTAACTGATGGACCAGTCAAGAACCAGTCAAGACGAAAAATTCTTTTGCATGCTATGGCACATGTTTGTTCTTGATTTATTCTACTTCAGCAGGGATTTGTTATGCTTTTATAATGCATTTTGTGCAAGAAACAACGTTTGATGTCCCTTTCTTTTTACAGCAGCTAAATTTTGTGTAGTTTCGTAGTGTGAAACAGATCAAATTACCTACTATTTTCTTCACTCTGGGTTAAGCATGGTTTTGGCAGAGAAAGATGAAAGAATTTATTATATTAGAATAACATGCTGAATATCGCAGGTGTCATAAGCGATCCGTTTGGGTACTGTTCACACCAGAGACTAAAAAACCCCAACCAACTAGTTTTTGTTGTGTTGTTCCTATCAGGAGTCATGAAAGGCAAGAAACTGTACGCCCTGACAATAATAATGATATTAAACTTCATTTTGGTGATGTTGAAAGGTGCATTGTTGATACAGCTTAGTGAGGGTGTAAAAATCGAAAATTAAAAAAATTTGGACTTCCGTGGATTGATTGCAACAGCAATGATAATATGTTTCTTTTCTTTGGTTTGAGACAATGTGAATAAATTTTAGGAATAATTTCTGAAAACGCAATCTTAAAAAACTCAAAGAACATGTACTTCGCTTTGTATATTTGAAAGTTTTCTGTACAGAATTGCGTGTTATTTTTTTGTTAACACTCATTTTGTGTTGTTATGAATGATTTTGTAGGACTTTGAATGTTTCTGTTTGTTGACTTCATCCATTTTCCATACCAATGACACACATTGTTTATGTAAATAATAAACTGGAATAAATTGCATTTCAAAATGTACTGAATGTTTGTGTTTTTTAAAAATTTCCTTCCGTTAATGAAATGACAAGATAGACTGCTGAGCTATTTTGTTCTTTGAGAGATGCCTTCCTTTGTCATTGTTCTGAACACTCACACATAGAAGAGTATGTTTTAGTTTTAGTAAGGTTTTATGGCGCTCGCAACTTCGCAAGGTCATATGAGGACCAAGGGGTGGATGTCAGCAGAGAAGCTCAAACGTGGAATCAGGCTTACTCTGCTCACCTTTCTTGCCTCAACAGTACAAAGTCTTCGATTATCAAGGCACCCCGGAAATAACGGTTCACAAAAGAGTTACAAACATACAAAAGAAGACGTAGAGGTTTTGTTTGCATTACTAATTGTTTTATGGCCCTCGCAACTGCATAACGTCATATGAGCGCCAAGGGGTGGATATCAACAGAGAAGTCCAAATGTGGAATCAGGCTTACTCTGCTCACCTCTCAAGCCTCAACAGCACAAAGTCTGCTTTGAGGCACCCCGGAAATTGCAGTTCACAAGAGAGTGACAAACATACAGAAGAAGTAGAGGAAAAATGACAATAGTAAGGATAGGAAAGAAAAAGCTGCAGTTCCCCCCTATTATTCTATTGTCAGCAGTGGTGTGCAGTTTGTAGTCACGTCACTCTGTATATATATAAATAGATTATGGTATGTATTAGTTCTATGGGTGGTGGGAGGCTGTTCTTGTGTGGTTTGCTCCTTATTTTTCTATCAAATGTCTATCTTCCTTATCTTTTCTCCTTTTTTTTGTTTTTGTTTCGTTCATGTAAAACCTAATTTTCAGCACTTGTATGACCCAATTGTGTTTGCAAGTGTCATAAGACTTACAAAAAACAAAAACAAACAAAAAACCCTCTTTGTTACAAGATAACAATTGTCTATGATTATGAAGTGACGTAAGACAATCGGTAGGCCTACTCACTTTTATCAGCAGGAATTGTCAATAATTTTATTATTTACTGGTTATGTCCGGGAGTGGTTGGCGCGTGCTCTGGTGTGGTTGCTTCTTCTTTTCTATCAAACGTTTATCGTCTTTATCTCCCCTCCCCCTTTTTTGTATATGTTACCCTCTTGTAACACCTCTAATCTTCGGCATCTATATGATCTTATTGTGTTTCAAGTGTTGTGAAACACTTACTAAAACTATAAAAAAAAAAATCCAACGACTAGTTACGTCCCTTGGCCATCTCTTGTGCGTTCATCCAGTTGTTCCCGCAGCTAATAATGCCCCAAGGAGGTTATACAGTAAGGTAAGGTGCTTGTACTGCCAGGATTGAGACTGTCTTGGGCTCTTGGTAGAGTAGTTGAGCTGTCGTAGCAGTAGATAGGTTTTAAAAAAATTATGTTACAGTGGTACATTTTAACTACCGGTATTTCAAGCATTCTATCTATCTCTGACATCCTCATTTCAGTCTGTCGACTCTGCTAATTCTTTTGATTAGCCCAAAATCACGACTGGTTGATGCTTGTTAGTTCGTCAAAATGAAAGGAGTGTAGGAATATTAAAATGCCACACTTCTTGTAGTTGTACTAATGATAGCACAAGTCTATTAGTATAGTTAGTAGGCTACAACAGCCGAACCTTCTCTAACGGCCACCTGCCCAAGACAATCACATGTACAATGGATCATTTTCCACTTCCTCCTCCCTAGCGTAAAAAAATGCATGTATTATAATGATACTGTCCACGACGTCCTCTTTTCTAAAACAACAACTTTTCTCCTCGACAGTGGTAACAATATCTATCGACTGTACATGATGTATATGGTGACGCAGCTTCATTTACGTAGGATAGGACGAGAGTTGCAGCGGGACTGATTGAGATGGCCTCTTTTTTGTTCTGTGCTATGTTCAGCACCATCGGTCTACATGAAGTCTAAAAAAATGGGGCATTTACAATATAATATTGGATACTATACACATACACCAAGCCTTAAGATGGAATCCACAAGGAAAGAGAAAGCAAGGAAGGCCTAAAACTAACAGTACCAGGAGGAGGGACTGTGCTATGGAGATGAGAATGAATATAACCAGACAGGTGGAGACTGGTACAGTGTAGCCCAGGACAGAAATGCACGGAGAGCACTAATAATGTTGGTAAAGGGTGGTGGGAAGGCGTCTTCACTGGTAGGTTCCACTTTTTTACTTTCAGTCTGTTGTTTCTGTCTGTCTGTCTATCTTTTTCCCCAGCACTAAATGACCACAATTGTGTCGATGTGCTTCTTAGTTTTTTTAAGTTTTAGTTTTAGTGGAGGTTTTACGGCGTTCGCAACTGCGTAAGATCATATGAAAGCCAGAAGATTAGAGGTGTTACAAGAGAGTAACCAACATAAAAAAGAAGAAGGAAAGATAAGGACGATAGATGTTTGATAGGAAAGAAGACGCAAACCACACCAGAGCACCGGCCAACCACCCACGATGTGCTTCTATTTACTCCAAAAAATTGTTGGAGGCCTATACTACGCACGGGGTGAGAAAAGCTGATGGTGGTGATGAGGCAACTGATGACATCTGTGGGGTTAGGGAAAGTACTTCACTGCAACATGCAAAAGACTTGAGTTCGAGTCTCTTGTGGAGACGTCTTTTTATCCAATACAGTTGAACCTGCCAT